GTCATAAATGTTTTTTTGGTGTCAATTCAGTCCTAAACCTTTTGAATTGATGTCAATTCAGCCATAAACTTTTTTATGGTGCTAATTCAGTCCTAAACCATTTGTTTTTATGTCAATTCAGTTCTTCCGATCAATTTTAGCCGGATTTTGCTGACGTGGATGCCGGCTGGCGGGCGGCCGATCACTGACGCTGACGTGGACAACTTTAATAATATTTTAATAATTTTTAAATTTTTATTTAAAATTTTTTCTTTTTTTTCCCCCTCCCTTCCCTCCTTCCTCTGGCCGGCTCCGGCGAGGCTCGACCTCACCAGTGGCCGGCGAGGGCGAGCCTCGCCGGCGCTGGCCTCTGGTGTCTGGTCGGTCACTAGTCCGGCGACCGGCTGGAGGAAAGAGGGAGGGGAGAGGAAAAAGAAAAGAAAAGAAAAAACGAAAAAAATAATTAATTAATTAAAAAAAATTAAAAATATTATCAAAGTTATCTATGTCAGTGCCGGTGACCGGCCGCCGGCCGGCGTCCACGTCAGCAAAATTCGACCAAATTTGGTCGGAAGAACCGAATTGGCACAAAAACAAAAGGTTTAGGACTGAATTGGCACTAATGCAAAATATTTAGGACTGAATTAGCACAAAAAAAAAGTTTAGGACTGAGTTGGTACCAAAAAAAGGTTTAGAACTAAATTGGCACCAATGCAAAAGGTTTAGGACTTTTTTGGTACTTTTCCAATTTCCATTAGCACCAATCCTATCTCTCGCTTCTTCTTGCCTTGCTTTCATATTTACCTGCTTCCTTGGGCTTTGAATCATGAAACTCGTAAGCATGTGTATAACAGAGTTTCAATCATGCCATTTGCTTGTTGGTATTGCTCTTGCATTGTGCTTTAACCAAGTCTGGTCCACCACCAATGAAACAGTTAGACTTGCACTGCTCGCATTTAAGGTTGGCATAGCCGGAGATCCTGTCGGCGTGCTCAACACATGGAACAATAGCATTGGGTTTTGCCAGTGGTATGGCGTTACGTGTGGCCGAAGGCACCAAAGGGTCACGGTCTTGGATTTGTCATCACAAGGACTCTCCGGATTAATATCTCCTCATATCGGGAATATGAGCTTCGTAAGGGAAATTCGGCTCCAAAACAACAGTCTCGATCAAGTCTTGTCCACCACCAATGAAACAGACAGACTTGCACTAGAATTTAAGGCCGGTATAGCTAGAGATCCTTTCGGCGTGCTCAAGTCATGGAACAATAGCACTGGATTTTGCCAGTGGTTTGGCGTTACGTGTGGTCGGAGGCACCGGAGAGTCACAGCCTTGGACTTGTCATCACAAGCACTCTCCGGATCAATCTCTCCTCATATTGGGAATCTCAGTTTTGTAAGGGAAATGTTACTCCAAAACAACAGTCTCGATCATGAAATCCTTTCGCAAGTCGGCCTGTTGCGCCGCCTTCGTGTCTTAGCACTACACAACAATTCATTGGTCGGTGAAATTCCCAAAAACATATCCGCTTGCTCAAACCTTGTCAAACTCAATCTTCGAGTCAACTAACTAACTGGAGAGATTCCCGGAGAGCTCGGTTCACTGTCGAACCTACGGATGGTCGCTTTGTCTGTTAATAGTTTGACTGGGAGTGTGCCTTCCACCATTGGGAACTTATCTTCACTGGAGATCCTTTTTTTAACCTTGAACAACTTGGGTGGGAGCATTCCCCAAGTTCTGTGAGATAAAATGAAAGCTTGCTTTTCTTATTTTCATTCGGAAGTTGTTTCCAATCATCTCCTTTTCCCATCGTTGCTTTCTTTCTCTTGCGCGACAATGAAGGCAGAAATTTTGACAATTCTCACGGAATAAATATTTCTATACTTGATGTTTGTTTCTATATACATATTTTCGTTAGTATGAACATTTATTAGCTATAGAAGAATAGATCTACACTAAATGTTTTGTGCAAGTAACATTTGTGGGCATTTTTGCAATGCTGTGGGCTAATTCACAACAAAGTTATCGGGCTCAAACAAACGTGACCGTTGATCTAATAACCGATAATGGTTGTCAATAAACATCTAACGATCATCGTCAGTCATTCAACCTCTCGTGATGAGTTTACTAATTTTGCCTTGGTTTTTGCCCACGGCATTGTAGAAAGGGCTGAGGGGCTACAGGGGCCGGTTTTTTCCGAGAGGCTTGATGCAAATTTCACAATATGTAAACAATATAAACTATGATGACGCATAACGTTCATATCTCTCCTTGTATATTAAGAACAATATTTTATCTGGTTCGAAGGAAAAGAAATTATCCGGACCGCATACACTATTGCTCCTCGTAAGTTAAAAGACATGGGAATCCTTTGTGAATCCTACATGACTCCACTCTGACAAGTGACGACCACGCCAAAAACTGGAAGTCTCTTTCGTTTGAATTTAAAGTCCAACTTTTCTATAGTTTCTCCGGTTCACATTGACTTTTTTTTTTGGTCGAGGTTCACATTGGCTTTAAAGACTGAGAAAGTTAGAAAGTAGACCTAGGTGTGTGGCACGCTATCTTTTTTTATTTTTATTTTTTATAATCTTTTGTAATAGTATACGTCCCAACGTAGCACACAAGCTATTAAATTCGTAATTTAAGATTAAATGATTATTTCGCATCAAGAAAAAAAAAACCGGCCAAAATAGGTTACAATTACCACCATACTATTCCAAACTTATATAGGAAATGCTAGACTTTCGGAATTGGGTGCTTAACAAGTATCTTGTTAATTAAATGCTTATCAAAATAGGTATACGGTGTGCGTCAGCTCCTGATTTTCAAGCTTTGAAGATCCACGTGGCTTCTTCCTCATGTGCGTACAATTTTCTTTTTCCTTTGTTTTTTTTGTGGTTGGGGGGGGGGAGATAAACATTTTCCTAATGGCATGTATATATACCTTTATCATCCTTTTATTTTCTTTATGATGGTTTCATAATAGTGTAATTGTACTTTCGGATCAATTCTATCCATTACGGTGGCTGTACATCTCAATTCCTTATCATTTTCTTTGACTACACATAGTTACTCTTTCTCTCTCTCTCCCTAATTGCAATTACCCGTGTAGATTGTACAACATACCATTTAAAAACAGGAACGTCACGGAGCCATTTGAAGAAACCATGGTAAACTTTTCTCTTCCTTCATAATTATTATTTTTACTAAATAAGTTTTGGAGAAGTTTGTCCATTTACGTTCTGACTTTAAAAATGTTTTACAAATGCAGGAAGGAGGCTTGCAATGACAACTGTTGCAATGAAATTGCATAAATCAATTTCTTTGAAATTCTATTTGATAGTATTCAACCACTGATAATGAAGGTTCTTAAAAAGTTGTAAGTTGCTAATCTATTTGAGAAGATCATATTTTTTTTATAAAAAAAATCCTTTGCAAGGTCCTAAGGTAGAATAAGAGTAAATACACTTTTTTGATATATTTTCTTCATATTTTGTATTTTATAAATAACTGAATTTTCACTACTATATCCATGGATTATGACGAAAGTAAAGATTAAGGTTGAGGTATGTATTTTCCGTTCTTAAATTCTTTTTTTCTAAATGTAATGGGGATTTGCTCATTTCAACAAGTAAAAAACGTAAGTGACAATTAGGATTATACATTTTATAATGCCATGATTATGTCGTTTTTTATCTACTCAAATTGACTTTTTCACATGCTATGTGTCTGTCTCGACCAAATTAATGATGAATGACGACCAATGAAGAGAAATGTGGAAAGAACGAGTTGATGTTGAGGGTGCTTGTGGGTGGCTCCTGGTTGTGTTGTGCTTCTTTCGAATATGAGTGGGTTCTGTTTGCTGCATGCTAGGTAGTGGAGATCATAGCATAATTTAATCAACAGGAACCAATTCTAATGGAAGGATTTTGCCTCTGCTTTGGCAATGGTGCACAGAGATTCGTTGGAATAACGCTATCTCATAATGCAAAGTTAATTTTTTTGTAATAACTTCGGGATGTGTCAAAGCGGTGACCTTTTGAGTCTCCATTTTATGTCATAAAGCAGTAGTCTCTATTTTAATCCCAACAAGTCAGGATTCTCACACATCTCCACTCTTAATACGGGCATACTCTCGCCTGGATTCCATGAACTGCGTGCAATCATCACTTTTGAAATTTGTGGGACTTGCGGATCCATGGTTTATGCATATTATTGATAGATTTTTGGACAATACCAAGAACATTGGCATTATTGGTAAGGCTCAAATTGGCAGCCCTTGTTCCATCATTTTTTAGATATTAATTAATAAGTGAGCGAGGAATTTCTCTTTAATTTGCTAGGGGGCAGAGCTTTTTCTTTTTTGTTTTGTTTTTTAGTCAGGGCAAGAGGGCAAGAAACTACTGTGTAACAAAAAAAAAAAGGGAAGAAAATGTAGAATTCCACCCCACGATACATATAAAAAAGAAAAAGGGTTAATACCACGAAAAACCCCAAACTGGTACACCTGTGACAAATTTACCCCAAATTAATTTTTTAATCAATAGAAACCTCAAACTGGTACACTTGTGACAATTTTACCCTCCGCTAGTTTTCGTTAAATTTTACCGTAAAATTTCTGAGTTAGATGACACGTGGCAGTTGACGAGTGTACAAGTTTGGGGTTTTACTCTCCATTTGTCATAGATGTACCAATTTATGGTTTTTTGTTGTATTAATCCAATTTAATATAGGGTAAATTTATTGCAAATGTACCAGTTTGGGACTTTTGGTGGTCAAAAAATTAGTTTAGGGTAAATTTGTCACATGTATACCAGTTTGGGATTTTTTGTGGTCAAAAAATTAGTTTGAGATAAATTTGTCACATGTGTACTATTTTTGGGATTTTTCGTGATATTAATCCAAAAAAAAAAGCTTTAATGACCACAAAGAGGAAAAGAAAGAAAAAAAGCGGTTCGATGACTACTGAGTCAAAAAGAAAAAAAGAAGAAAAGCGTCTCAAAAAGCTATTTAGAGAAATCGACACATTCTTATAAATCTCTTCATAGTTTCCATTAGCACCAATCCTGCCTCTTGTTTCTTCTTGCCTTGCTTTCATATTTGCTTGCTTCCTGGGGCTTTGAGTTGTGAAACTCGTAAGCATGAGTTTTGCGGAGTTTCAATCATGCCGTTTGCTTCTTGGTATTGTTCTGGCATTGTGCTTTAACCAAGTCTTGTCCACCACCAATGAAACAGACAGACTTGCACTGCTCGAATTTAAGGCCGGTATAGCCGGAGATCCTTTCGGCGTGCTCAAGTCATGGAACAATAGCACAGGATTTTGCCAGTGGTTTGGTGTTACGTGTGGTCGGAGGCACCGGAGAGTCACAGCCTTGGACTTGTCATCACAAGCACTCTCCGGATCAATCTCTCCTCATATTGGGAATCTCAGTTTTGTAAGGGAAATGTTACTCCAAAACAATAGTCTCTATCATGAAATCCCTCCGCAAGTCGGTCAGTTGCGCCGCCTTCGTGTCTTACGACTAGACAACAATTCATTGGTCGGTGCAATTCCCAAAAACATATCGGGTTGCTCTAACCTTGTCCTCCTCATTCTTCAAGGCAACCAACTAACTGGAGAAATTCCTGCAGTGCTTGGGTCATTGCCAAAGCTACGGGAGTTCGTTTTGTCTATCAATAATTTGACCGGGAGTGTGCCTTCCTCCATTGGCAACTTATCTTCACTGGAGGTCCTTTATTTGTCCAAAAACAACTTGGGCGGGAGCATTCCTGAAGTTCTAGGCCACTTGACAAACTTGCGAGTCATTTCCCTCGGACGAAATAGGTTGTCAGGTACAATTCCATCTTTGTTACTCAATCTCTCTTTGCTAGCTAAGTTTAGCGTCGGAGACAACCGGTTACTGGGGACTCTTCCTGCAGGCATAGGCCTCACACTCCCAAATCTTGAATATTTTAGTGTCTACTTGAACCAACTTGAGGGGCCAATTCCTCCGTCAATATCGAATTGCACAAAGTTAGAGATGCTTCAACTTTCAGCTAACAAATTTTCCGGGAAAGTACCTTCTTTTGAAAATTTGCACAAGCTTCGTCGGCTTCGAATCTTTAGAAATCAGCTTGGAAGTGGAAAACCTGGAGACTTAAGCTTCCTTTGCTCGTTAACCAACAACACCAAATTACAGGACCTGAATATTGGCTGGAACAAGTTTGGTGGGGTGTTACCTAAATGCATAGGTAATTTATCCATTACTCTCGCATTATTCGTTGCAGCCGGGACTCAAATAAACGGTGAGATTCCTGAAGAAATCGGGAATTTAGTCAACCTGGAAGTATTGTTTATGGATGGCAACCAGCTTTCAGGTGTTATCCCCTCAAATTTCGGGAATCTACCAAATCTAGCGGTACTGGGCTTAGTTGGTAACAAACTGAGAGGGATTATCCCGTCTTCTTTGGGAAATCTAACCAGGCTTATTGAACTAAATCTTGGTGGGAACAACTTTCACGGGCAAATTCCTTCACATCTATCAAACTGCCGGTCTCTTGATTCGCTTGATCTGTCTAATAACAATCTGAATGGTGTCATACCCCCGCAGCTTATTGGTCTCACATCATTATCGATCATTTTGGACTTGTCTCGTAACCATTTGACTGGAGTTCTACCCACAGAAGTTGGAAACTTGAGAACTTTGACTGCGTTGGACATCTCGCACAATTTGTTGGTAGGTGAAATCCCAAGTAGTTTAGGTGATTGCACTTCATTGACATCACTAAGGTTGGCGGGCAACTTCTTCCATGGGTCAATTCCTCAATCAATCAGATCGTTAGGAGGCATTGAAGAACTAGATTTTTCATGCAACAATTTGTCAGGTCAGATTCCTGAATTCTTATCGGTATTTCGTTCCTTGAAACTTCTGAATTTGTCGTACAATAAGTTTGAAGGCATGCTACCACGTGATGGAGTCTTTAAGAATGCTACCGCTGCTTCTATTATTGGGAACAATGAGCTTTGCGGTGGACTGCCAGAATTCAATCTCCACAGCTGCATCTCCAGAAGCTCCAAGAGTAGAAAGATCAATATGGTGATATTGTCCACTTCTATTATTTTCAGAGTTCTTGTAGTAGCTCTTATTCTAGCTTTTATATATCTTTGTTGGTTGAAGAAGAAAGTAAATGAACCAGTTTCAAGTTCGATGGATGATTCACGTCCAAGCGTATCATATAGAACGCTCCTAAACGCAACCAATGGTTTTTCTTCTAAGAATTTGATTGGTGTTGGAAGCTTTGGCTCTGTTTACAGGGGGATACTTGAGGTCAATGGAACTGTTGTTGCCGTGAAGGTGCTTGATTTAGTCTGTCACGGTGCTCTGAAGAGCTTTATGGTCGAGTGTGAGGCATTAAGGAACATCAAACATCGAAATCTTCTGAAGATACTAACAATTTGCTCGGGTAGTGATTATCAAGGGAATGATTTTAAGGCCTTAGTCTATCAATTCATGGACAATGGAAGCCTAGAACGGTGGCTACACCCAAACGCAACATTATCTCATCATAATGAGCTTCTGGAAAAGTTGAATTTCATTCGCAGGATAAATATTGCTATTGATGTTGCTTCTGTATTGGATTATCTTCATCACCAGTGCCACATTTCCATTGTTCATTGTGATCTAAAGCCAAGCAATATTCTCTTAGATGCTGAAATGGTCGCACATGTTGGCGACTTTGGATTGGCAAAATTTCTTCTTGGATCATCCCTTGATACTGTAGCTAATCAGATGAGCTCTCTGGGTCTTAGAGGGACAATCGGTTATGCTCCACCAGGTAATCTCTCTACTTTCTATTATAATGATAAGAGCTCCACATTCTTTTTGATGATTAGCACTCCTCATTTAATCTGCACTATGATCAAAATGTGTGACAGAATATGCCATGGGACACGAGGTCTCAAGAGAAGGCGATGTCTATAGTTACGGCATTCTCTTGCTAGAGATGTTCACAGGATTGAGTCCCACCAACGAGAGATTCAGAGACAATTGGACTCTCCATAGTTTTGTCGCAGCAGTTTTGCCTGAACGAGCACTAGAAGTTACGGATCACATTCTACTTCAAGAAAGAGAGAGTTGTCTCGACCCCAACAATCCTCAGCATTGGCGTTCCGAAAGTAATGGCATATTTCAAGAGTGTTTGATTGTGGTATATAATATTGGAGTTGCTTGTTCCAATGAAGTGCCTGGAAGAAGGATGAGCATTAGCGGTGTTGCAAATCAACTGCAAAAGATTAGGGAAAAGCTCTCTTGCATTGGGTTGACATGAACAAGATGAACTACCGCAGGTGATATGACAATTTCTTAACCTCTCTCTTGTCCTAAATATTTAGTTTTGCATATGCTTGTGCAAACAGACATGTTAATCTGTAGCAGAATAGAGAATCGATCATGCATTGTCATTAAAAGGCAATAATTGATTGTCATTCCTCACCTGTATATGTATCGAGCTAGCATGTGTGCTGCAGTGCAGAGACCTTTTAGTAATATTTGCTAAAATTTGTCTCGAGTTTGAGAACATGGATGAAACCCAACCCGAATTGATGCGCTGGAAAGTCAAGCCGTTTAAAGATTGTCTGAATTGGGCTTTGAAAATGTATAACTGGAGAGAAGCAGTCGTTTCTGTTAGGAGAAAATAGTTGATTATCATTCCTCATCTGCACAGATTACTGCACTAGCATATGGCCCATGATGCAGAGTCTTGAGAATTGTTATGATATTTTAGAAGATCAGTCTCAAATATTCAGTTCTTTTATGGGTGTAAAGCTCATTTAGATGAATACAAATTAATCAACTATCGGCTATTTTCAGTTGGTATTCATAATCAAGCCTTTTCAACGTATGAATAGTCGTTCTCTGAAGTTCGTATGACGCAGTAACGGTGTGCGGAAGTTGATTCACATTAATCCTACATGTCTCCTTTTTTATTGAATTTATGTGTTTCCTCCAGCAAATCCCCTAGCTTTTGTCCAGGCTTTCTAACTCAGAGAAGTGCTTGGTTTCTTTCTACAGCTTCACTAGGAATCGCTATGCGTCGTGGAAGTTGTGCGAGACAGTTCGAGATGAGTGATGTTGCAGTCAAGCCAAGTATCTCTTTCAGCTTCAACCTAAATAAGCAAATGCTCTGTTTGGGAAAAAAAAATGACAGTTTGAAGAAGAAAAGACTTTCAGATTCAGCTTCCTCATATGCGTTAAATCGAGAAACAGATCTGGGCGATTGATATGTGAAGCAGGAACTTCGCAATAATGTTTTAGCATAACTAGTCTATCCCAATTCTGATCGTGCAACTTGTGCTATTTGTGTTTTTTCTGATGGGGAATGGATCTGCAGAGCTGCTATTTCTACAGTATGCCACTTTGATTAATCTTTTTTGGCCAAAATTTTTCCTTCTCTCGTTCATTCATTTCTTATCACGATAGAGCTTGTTTGATGAATTACAAACTGTGTTGCCAGTGTCTAATAAAAATTCTAGCCAAACAGAAATCACCGAAACATATGATCGTGCCCTCATCGTCTTAAGACCAGAACAAACTTTAGGCGTTTCATCATGATTATGGAAATAATTTGAAGCATGTGATAGAGAAGACTCATATTCTTCGTCTTGTCACGTCTCGTTCCTTACCCAACCCTCTAAGTTTCCAATGACCAAAACTCCATAAACATCGGCATCCAAATTGTGCTGGGATGGTTGGCACATACCTGAACAAAGCTCGGCCGAGCACGGCGACCCAGACCAAAATTTTCGTTGAAAATTCATCTGTAGCTTTTGAAAGAGCTTTGATAACTGGAAGAGAATTCTCGAAAGGAGTTGAAGCATTAAAAAACTAATTTTCAAGTTAAAACCACAACCCGGGAGGCAGGAGCTTAGCAAACCAACTTCGAGCTAGCTTTTGTTTTGAAAGCCTCATCATGAAGTTTTATGTATCTTAGGATGAGGTCATTGCACTTTGATTTTAACCCCCCAGTATGTTGAATTTTCAACATTTGCAATTAATGTGTTTTGATCTGAGTTCGGCAAATTTTTGTAGAAAATACAGACATGACCGGCATGTGTCATAGAGTCTAAGTGGATACCCATGTTAATTTTCTTTTCACTTTGAGCTGACTTGGACTGAACGCTAATGTCGTGTGATTGTCTCGTAAGCAATTTATCAAGAAATTGTTCAAATTTTAATGAGAGCACGTTGACTGCAAAGGAATATTAATTTAGTTTATACATTAACGGATTTAGGTCCACTAATATGAATGACTAATTGTAAAATCTATTGAAGTTTGCTGACTAAAAAGTGGAATTTACTATTCATAAGTGGACACGCTCAAATGTGGCCCATCTTTGCAAGTGAAGCCGGATAGATCGCAATCGTTAATTATGTGAGCCCACACACGCGAGTCTTAATCAATCAACGATTGTAGTTGCGCCCCGGTCCTATGAATTTGTCCTCGTACACACTACATGTTATATTTCGTCGGTCCGCCCATGATGTGTGTGTCCAAGGAACACCATTTACTCTAATAAGAAGTGTGTCTAAGAGAAACCTTTTGAAGAGGTGGGAGGGGAGTTTCTTAAGGGAAGTTAAGATAACTTCCTCAGTAGATGAATAATATACGAGAGATAATTAGAACTCTCTCTCTCTCTCGACACATAAGGATTCCGTATCTACTTTGAGAAGACAATCGGTATTAACGCTGTGGAACGAGAATACTTTCCTTGTGATTATATTCGGATCAACGTGAAGTAGATTCGTCCATCGTTCGCTGGTGATTCAACGTACGTTCCTGGAAAATTGGTTTGGAGTGCATTGAACAGGTTAGTCGATTCTCCTGACACTTGCTTCCAACATTGGTATCAGAGCCTCGGTTATGATCTCTGTCTTGTTTTTCCGTTGAATTTTTTCGCTTGTTGTTTGATATGGGGATCGAGAGAATTCATATCGTCTGGATGTTCATTGCTCGGAAATTGCAACATGAATCGTCGAAAATGAGATCGGACGCGACGAACGGGTTTGGAGGATGAACGCCGTTCTGTTTGACCCTGTATCGAATATTTATTTTTATTAAAAATAATATATTATTATACAGAGTTGAAGAACTTGTCGAGACGAGCAGAATGGCGGGTCGAACGCCGCCGGAAACCTCCGAACGCGCCGCCACGCGCGGTTAGAAGCCGCGACGTCACCGGCGACACGCCCCGCGCGCGACCACGCGCTGGGAATGCCAGCACGTGAAGGCCACGCGCTCGTTGCCAATCGGCGCGTGCTGACGTCAGCAAAACTGTCGGTAACCGACATACTGACGTCATTGATGGCGTCATCTCGCTGGCGAACCCACCTCCGGCGACCGGCTGACCCGACCCGACCCACGACCCGACCCAACCCATTGACCGGTCAACGGTTAACCGGTCGGACCGGCTCAGAAGCCCGTATTGGGTAGGCGCGTGCGCCACATGCGCCGCGCACTTAGGCGGCGCGTGTGGGCGCGTGGGAGCTCTGATTGGAGCGTGGTTGGTACGGTTGTGTTCGTATTCAAATTCTCTACATTGTGATATAGTTATTTTATATGTTTTAAGCTTTTAAAGGTATGAAAATGCATACAGAACCCTAAATACATTTATTTTTGGGGTATTATTGCATTTTTCTTGTATTTTCCTATGGTTTTGGAAATACAGAAGCTGGCTTACATGTAAATGACCACATAAAGATTATGTAGAGCATGGTTCATTGATGGCATGTTTATAAGGTTTAACGTGCTTGCAATTTCAGTTCCGAGCTGACTCGAACAATGGTTGGAGATCCATTTTTTATTTACTTGTATTCTGCTTGAATTACCTGTATTTTGGTTAATATCATGCTGTTGTCTATAATTGTATGAGAGAATGCGATCATTGCATGATGCATGATAATCGTTTTTTCTAGTGGGAGTTCGTAGGTTGGTAAAATTCAAAGGAGTTCTCACCTAGAACTTAAAATTTGCGCAAATTAAACAAGTTAATGATAGTAGAACAATTGTACGTCGAAGCTGATTGGGAACATAGTGAACTTTCGTTTCGATATCTTTTGTTGAATTATCATTAATTTAGTTTGTCTTTGCTGCAAATTAAAATGTGTGTTTATGTGGAATATGTGCTAGTATTGATTCTATGTTTATTATGTCAATGTGTAGTAGAAATTGATTATGGCTTCGGCATCCAAGACCATTGTGGCTGACCTTAACAAGGGTGAAAAGCTGAACGATGACAATTATGATATTTGGCACCGAAAAGTTCAGTATATCCTTGAGGAGCAAGAGGTTTTCGAAACCCTCAGCTACACCATGGATGAACCTGAGCATGGAACTTCTACTCAACACATAAGAGATCAAGAAACTTTTCAAGCTTGGAAAAAGAAAAATAGCATTGCTCGCATCACGTTACTGAGTTGTATGCAAGATGATCTCATGTGTGAGTTTGAAAGTTATGACAAAGCTCAAGCAATGTGGGTTGCCTTGAAAGATAAGTTTGGGGGTACGTCTGCCACTAAGTTGAGGAGGCTCACCATCAAATTTGACACATACCGGAAGCGCTCAAATCTATCGATGAGGCAGCATCTTCGGGAGATATCAAACATGATGCGTGAGCTGAAGTCGGCAGGTCATACCTTAACTAACGAACAGCAAGTTCTGGCTGTTATAAGGTCTCTTCCTGACAGCTGGGTACATATGAAAATCAATATGACGCACAATGAGAATATCGTCACTTTTGACGATATTGCGCGTCATTTGGAATTAGAAGATGAGCGCCTAGAGGCTGCAAAATCCTCTACCCATGCTTATGTTGCTGAATCAGGTTTGGGAAAAGCTTTGGGCTTTAAGCGCAAGAGGAACCATAAATTCAACAATAAAGGAAAAGAGACTGATCAGGCACCCAAGAGAGCCAAGACTTTCCGACGCAAGAAGCGTGGCGGGAAGAAGGACAAGGCCAAGATGATAGGCTACAATTGTGGTAAATTGGGCCACTTCGCTCGTGAATTCACTGAGCCGAAAAAGGTACCACAGTACTCCATTACTTTGAGTAATGCTTTTGTTTCTAGCACTGTAATGCTTGCTGAATCTCATCCAATGTGGACTGTAGACTCAGGAGCAACAGACCACGTAGCTAGAGACCGAGGAGCATTTGTGGAGTATCGTCGAATACAGCCTGGAAGAAGATGGATATATGTTGAAAATAACTCAAGAGTTGAAGTGAAGGGTATCGGCACATGTAAATTAACCTTTCGTGGTGGTCGAAACCTATTCCTACATGATGTCCTCTATGCTCCAGATATTCGGCGAAACTTGGTCTCTGTAGTTGTTCTTCTTGGCTTAGGTTATGTATTTAATTTTCATGGTGATTGTGTTGACATTTTGTTTAGAACAGTTTATTACGGTTGTGGTTATGTATTGAATGGTTTTATGGTGTTAGACATTGACTATGATGTGTACAAAGTTAATGTTGATGGTTGTTTTTCTTTAATTGCTTCTTCTAGTAATGTGGAGATTGATGCAAGTACTTGGCATGCTAGACTGGGTCACATTGGGTTACAAAGAATGAAACGATTAGCAAGAGAAGGCCTTTTGGGGTCACTCGCTAATGTTGAACTACTCGTATGTGAACATTGTCTAGCGGGAAAAATAACTAGAAAACCATTTGGTAAAGGAGCCAGAGCTGAACTTCCATTGCAACTTATACATTCTGACATTTGTGGTCCTTTAAATGTGAGGGCGAGGCACGGAGCCTCATATTTCATCACTTTTATAGATGACTTCACGTGTTTCGGTTATGTTTTTTTGATCTCCCATAAGTCTGAAGCATTGGATTGCTTTAGGCGGTTATAACTTTGGTAGAGAATCAGTTGAACAAAACAATAAAGGCATTGAGAACCGATCACGGACGTGAGTATCTATCTGAGCAATTTAAGGCTCTTTGTGATGAAAAGGGAATTGTAAGACAATTGACTATTCCTGGTGCTCCGCAACAAAATGGGGTTGCAGAAAGAAGGAATAGAACTCTATTGGAAATGGTTAGGTTTATGATGGTGCAGACAAATCTACCTGTCTCATATTGGGGAGATGCGTTATTGACTGTTACCTATATACTTAATCGTGTGCCCTCTAAGTCAGTTGCTTCCACCCCTTATGAATTGTGGACTGGTAGAAAACCAGACTTAAGTAATTTACGACCTTGGGGGTGTGCAGCATATGTTCATGATTCTTCCCATAAATATGGCAAATTAGGCCCTAGAGGGAAGAAGTGTATCTTTATTAGATACTCTGAACACTCTAAAGGGTACATGTTCATAGGTGAACAAGCTGATGGAAGTGTGACTGAAATGGAGT